GTGATATTCAAAATTTCAATACTAACCATTAGTTGTTCAATTTTAAAATTATGTGAATATTGTCAAAAGTTACCTTAAAATCTAAACTAAGAACAGGTCACGCTTTTGCTTTATCAGCTTCAAACTCGACTATAAATAAATAAGGAGATAACCACCTGGATCTTGAATGCCTTTGTCTAGATTTTTTTGAGTGACTAGCGACTTTTGAGTATGATATGCATACATGGAGGAAAATAATACCTGCCTATTAACAATTAATATCTCGTGCGATGTGGCAACAGCAAAAGCCTTTTAATTGATAGATCAATATCACGATGATTGGTTTTGTGCGTAGCATATGGCAAGGCCTATCGCAATATTTTGGGGTAAATGGCACACGAGGGAGAAGTCGGGAAAGCCCGTTGAGCTTATCTGAAGTGATAGGGTGGTTGAGGGGATTGGACATGGGCAGCGACATGTGTGTTCAGGGCCACTCTAATGGGGTCTCATATACACCAATTCGTGGTCCCTTCGCTTTATATCAGCCCCCTGAGGCTATGGGCCATATGTTTTGAATCGCAACACCAATAAATATATCATTAGGACAGGTTCCATGGTCATTTATGGCATATTGAATTCCCTGGGCTCTATTTTCTGGCTTCTCTCCTTTGGCTAATTGGTTCTCGACCAGCTCTGAATATTTCAAACTATTTGGCTTATCTTCGCCAAGGTCAAAGCGGAAACCACCCACCTTTATCCACTGCGTGCCAATACGGAAATGCTGAGTTCGAATTTCAATTTTATTTATCACGAATTTATTATGCACCCATTTGGGCTCATCGATTTCATTCCAATTTGTTGCTGGCCTTTGCCTTCAGTTTTAGTTTTTAGCTCGTAGCGACACAACTCGAAATGCGAAATAAAATCCAAACGTGCAAATATATTTGCGGCCTATTTTGCGACTTGGAAGCGAGGTGTTTATGTGTAAAGAAAAAAAAAAATAAAAATACGTTGGCCCAATAAAGCTCATAATTTATAGGGTTTGTGTGACGTTTCCCAGGAACTTCTTGTGAAATTGCGAGACCCCAAAAGAAGCCGTCTTATCGCGCCACATAGCACGTCACTTCAATTGGCCCAGTGTGTAAATTGAGTGTGTGCGAGCGTGTATGGGTTAATGGTTTGTTTGCCAGCAGTTCTCATTCGATCGGAAAAGTAATAAAGTCGTCGCACGAATCGGTAATCGACTAAGAGCTTTTCCAAGTGAACGTGTAGTGTTTTTGGACTTCCAGTGATGAAATATGTGTCAGGGATTCGTTGAAAAACCTAAAAAAAAAAGAATAGAGTGAGAATATTAAAAGGAAAGTTTAAGAATTGATTACATTTAGCTTTAAACTTTCCTTGATTATAAGATTAAATTTGTTTTGTTTTTTAATTATCTGGTTTTTGTTTTGTTGATTTAAATAATGATAGGTAAATAATTAAGGTTAACAGAATGAATTCCTTATTAATCTATAAACTTTACACAATAGTTAATTTTTATTTCAAACTTAAATTAAATGCTTGGGTGAAAGTATTAATATCAGCATCAATTTTAAAAAGCAGGACAACATTTAAACTATTTTATATTCAATTAAAATACAAATGTTCTGTAAAACCCTTTACCTTCTCTTACAAACTCTTCGCCTTGCTTTGTAATGAAATTGTTTATAACTTTGGTTGAATTTAAGGGCTAAATTCACCTGAAACGAGCGCTCTGCGTCCTCGATTACAGGGTTTGCGCCGCCTTGAGGTCCGACAATCTTAGTGTGCCATCGCAGGCAACATCCGGCAGGGCATTTAAATTGAGACTCGAGCACAAGTCATTCAGGACGACCTTTTGACGCCTCTGACCTGACACGCAAATTTTGTGCGACATAACGAAGGTACCACAGATCGATAGGTGAAGGCGGGTCCTTGGCATTATTTGGCACTTGATGGAATAACTATTAGTTAGAGTGCCACCGCTAAAGCCCGCACTTTAAGCCACTCCATCTGGCTCTTGTGAATGCGGGTGGATTGTATTTTTTTTTTTTGTTGCTTGGGAGAACAAAGTTATCTGTGGGTTTAATGGGCTTCACCTGTGGACTCCACACCTCGCTGCCTCCCAGCAAATAATGGAAAACAAATGCGCACAGTTGTCTGATATCCACATATACACACGATGCCTATATAACTGGATATATGCATATGTGTTTGGGCATTTCGAGTTTTATCAGCACGCTTCACTGCTATCATGCGGGAAAAGCGGTCGGTGGGTGGCATAATTATAATCACAACTAAGTTTGTTTGTTTAAGTGCTTAAAAAGCCGCTTGTGCCACTCACTCTCCGGTCGACTGATAAATTTATTTTAACTTGGTTCTGCCCATGAACACGTTCTTTCATGGTCTACGCACTTTTTAGTTTAACCTCCTTGCATAAATAAAAATAATGGGAAAACAAATATGAAAAGACTTGTTGATTCTTAGCTTTGATAAGCTATATGCATTTCATGTTTTTTGGTTAGGGTGGTATCTGATTATGAAGAAGGCACGTGATCTCATTTTGTAAAAAATTAATATAATTTTGTAATGCGTAATGCCGAATTTTGTTTAATAACAAACGTATAATGTTTTAATTTATCAATTATCAATTATTTCAAAAGGACTAAATTAATATTTTGGTCCTAATATAATATTTATAATATTTATCAACAGATATAGATATGGTTTAATTATTTTTTTGATAATTTACAACAATTCAACAAATCTTTTACTAGCTGTAATAGATATCCACTTAATAGAATAGGTGTTATATTGCTGTGAAAAAAATCGTAGTCCTTGTAATTGTAGTTGTGGCAGTGAGGCGATGATTTAAATGGGATTGGATTTTCATAAAACAAGTGTTGTGGTTTAATTGACCTACAACATCCATTCCTTTTGACCACAAACGCACTGGCGGACTCTGCGATCCAGATTGCGGATCATATTGATGAGTTCCTTGCAAAGTGACTCCCTTTCAGGGCATCCATCGCATTTAACACCGCCTGGACCGCAGCCGCAGCTGCATGGCTTTTTGGTGGGACGAGTTGTCGTCTTTCGAGTGGTCCTGCGAGTTGTAGTTGCTTTAGTTGTGGTTGCTTTTGTTGTGGTTGCCTTTGTCGTTGTCGTAGTTGGCTTTTTGGTGGTGGTGGTTGTGGTCCTTTGGGTGGTTGTTGTCGTGGTTGTTGGAGCACAAGTGGTCGTGGTTCTTGGCGTGGTTGTTGTTGTGGTTGTTGTCGTGGTTGTTGGAGCACAAGTAGTCGTGGTCCTTTGCGTGGTTGTTGTCGTGGTTGTTGGAGCACAAGTAGTCGTGGGTCTTGGCGTGGTTGTTGTTGTGGTTGTTGTCGTGGTTGTTGGAGCACAAGTAGTCGTGGTCCTTTGCGTGGTTGTTGTCGTGGTTGTTGGAGCACAAGTAGTCGTGGTCCTTTGCGTGGTTGTTGTCGTGGTTGTTGGAGCACAAGTAGTCGTGGTCCTTTGCGTGGTTGTTGTCGTGGTTGTTGGAGCACAAGTGGTAGTAGTAGTTGTTGGTGCACACGTTGTCGTAGTGGTTGACGCTGGATCTGTGCAACCACATGCGTTTCCTGCGGTGTAGCCCACCAAGCTGATTAGCAGGATTCCAGCTACAAAGAAACCAATTAGTCAAAAATAATCCTTTTGCCACTTTTTATTGTAATCCAAAACCACCAAAGAAGGTTTTTGTTTTACCCACCAATAATCGTCGCCTTCATTTTCGATGTATATAAATGTAATTGCAAACTGATACCTTTCTTGGCTGAATTCTCTGCTTTTATAGGATCCCAACCAGCTTATTGTTTTGGTTAAGTTTGCACAGTGCATTTTAAAAATGGACTAAAAGCCATTCGTTGAAAAGGTCAATAAGCTTCAACACCAGTCGTTTTGGGCTCAGCAAATAAAATTAAAACGTGCCAGTCTTTCCTCACTAAATTCAGAATTTTCAACTTGCACGCGTGCATAATATTTGCTCAAGTTTAAGGTTTTAACCGTCTACACAGGATCTTTGCAAATAAATAATACTCTTCTTTCTAGGCCAGTATTTCGATTAAAAAAAAAAGGTTTTTTGTAAAATATTAATTTCAAAGCAACATTTTTTTTAGAAATTTTTGTGTATAACCTTTTCTCAAGTCTTATGATGGAAAAAATGTGTTTTCTTTTGGTTGGTGATATCAACAATTTTATAATTCTAGTTTTCATATCAACGATTTGTTAGTTTTCAAGGTCGTCAGTAGTCCTATTTTAAGATATGCTAATCACTTGGGGCCCCAAAGCCCTTGCCCTACCAATGAAAAGTTGATTAGCTTAAAGTTTTGCTTCTGGTTCTCTCGGAGAGTCTATTTCCTACCCATTACCGTGGGTTCTTTATTCTGGATCGGGCCGAGTGTAATACTTTTGAAGCGATAACATTTGAAGCGAGTCACTTGGACGCCACGGGAGCTTGTTCGGTTGGGTTCGCTTTTGGGCTAATTAGTTCTCATTGCGGATCGCAGGAGGCAAGATGACCAAAGCAACGTAAACAATACCAAAAAATGAAAGAAACTCTAAGCTCAAAGGTGCCAACAAGAATAGGAGTAACGTTTGTATCTGAATCGGATCCAAAGAGAAAACTAAAAAGTTCGCCATCAACGTCGACCTCAACAATATCAACAAGTACGACAACAACGACCACCGCATCGCCTCCACCGCCCCAAACTTCCTATGTGATTAAATGTCTGTTGAGAACGGCGCGTTTTATGTGGCAAGTGACGACAATACCCTCTAAAATCGGTGATACCATTGGTACCCTGTACCGTTATGCTCAGGACTCTGTCGATAGTTTTCTATGCGTAGCTGGGTGAGACTTTCCTTACAGATTTACCATACCCATTACTATTTGCAATACAAATAAATCTTAAAACTTTACTCTATATGAGCATTATTTAATTGAAATGTTTTTTATTTATTTACAGCAAGGCTCGTCGCAAGGAGCGCGATGGCGATCAAAATTCAACAGACACCAAATTGTATTTGGAGGAGAGTGTCCTAGAACGTAAATTACCTGAAGCTGATCTCAAAGCCTTAGTCGATCTTCCAGCTGGTTTGGACTACAATGAATGGCTAGCGTCACACAGTAAGTTTCCATTTCAAATGTTTATTAATTGTAAGATTTGCTCATACAATTAGCTATTTGAAGTTCACGTGATTTTCTGATTTCCCTTTCAAAAGTGCTTTTATTGACTCACATCTGTGTCATTTGTTCCTATTGTTGGCAAGCTTTATCGTGTGATTTACAAATGACTTTAACGAGCGACTGGCCGCAAAGCGATGTCAGCTGCTGTTTGGCAAAAGTTTGATAGTCTAATCGCCACTGGGCACTCCGGTGGCTCCGGTTGAGTGCCCCGATTTATGAGCAAGTCTCGCCGGTCCACTATATACATTATCGTTAAGCCAATGAACTTGAACAGAAGTCTGGGCGATAGCATTATCTGAGTGCGCTTTAAGAAGTGCCAGGATACAAGATCAGGTTTGCTTTGTTTCGGAAAGGTTTAATAAATCAAGGGGTATTCAAATTAATTGCTGAAGGATCAATCAATTTTCGAAAGATTAATAAAACGCATTCAATGTTAAATCACTGACAAAATGTGACGTAAACCAGTAATTATTTTCCACCCCTACTTTAATTAAATTTTAATAAACGCTTAATACCATCCTAAGCCAGTGATTGGTGAGTCACATCTTAATTAGCTTGCTTGAAAGAATCTTTTTTGGTTACATCATTGAAGGGGAACCGAATCGATTTTGAGAAATTACATCATCTTGTAAATAATCTGTTTGCTTGCTGGGTGGCAGAATGCAAATTACACAGTTCTTTGTTGACTCAAATGAGGCAAATAATTGGCAATGTATCAGCAAAATGTAGCCCCTCTGTCCTCTTGCTCCTCCATCTCCATCTGCATCGACTCTTCATTAGCTTGCCTTCCTTTTTGGAAAAACAATCAAAGCCAAACTGTTTGTCGTGGGCGATGAGGATCAGGGTCATTTCACGTCGCCCGATGGCGTCAGCTGCAAGTTCATATATGCAAATTTAATACTTGAATTTGCTGACTTCGAAGCGGCACCATCCCTCCCGTTTGCAACTTGGAACTGGGCTAAGAAAACCGATTTAAGCCAGCGGCCTATTTTTGCTCCAGTTCTGCTGGCATTTCATAATGCGGCTCAGCTCTCTCCACAACTGACGTAATGAGGACACTTGTGCAAATATTGGGTCGGCATTGACCTTACACCGGATGGTTCCGCTCAATAATATCATCGTATGATGACGGCTGGGTCTTATCTCTGAACACCAGACACTGAAAGAAACCAATACACGCCGGGTGACGATGATAAGATTTGCTTTGAAAGATATCTCTATACCCCCTTTTGTTTTGCCGAAGAGAGTTGGCAATTATTTAGCAGGTTGTTGACTTATTATGGTATTTTTTTTGTTTGTCTTGGGAATGATTGTAGATCCATGATAATATTAATCTTGTTTTTAAACTTCTTGCTCTAAATCCAAATGTGCATCTCAATTAGAAATTGGAAAATTTCATTTCCATCTTTACATGAATAAAACCATCACTTATTTGTAAGCTTCTTTTAATTGAATCACGATTTTATTAAACTTACTTTCCAGATACTTTAAAATATAATCATGATTTTATTTAACATCTCTTTAAGCTATTTTAAAGTTCGTTTTAGAAATCGTTATTCATCCCAATTTATTAATGATTGTAGTTCACTTAAATTGTATATTGTACAAGATAATACAAATATGAAACCCCATTCACTTAAATTGTACATAGCACATGATTAATAAAGTTGGTATTATTATTTTGTATTACCAATTCCAAAATTATTAAACTTAATTCTAACAAAAATATTTATTATCAAATGGACACGTTTTATAAACATTCTTATAATTGTTGTTTACTTTTTTTTCGTAATTTCAGCCCTGGCTCTATTTGAGCATGTGAATTTGGTTTATGGAACTATTAGTGAATTTTGTACACAATCCGGTTGCGCCGACATGACCGGACCCGGCAACAGGTGAGACCTGACAATAGCTTCTTATATCTGTTAGTACCATAATAATATATATATGTATATGTTTTTCGGCAGAACGTACTTATGGTTCGACGAGAAGGGCAAGAAGACGCGCGTCGCAGCTCCACAGTACATCGACTATGTGATGACTTTCACCCAAAAGACGGTCAGCGATGAGTCGATATTCCCAACCAAATACGCCAACGAGTTCCCCGGCTCGTTCGAGTCGATTGCGCGGAAGATACTACGCTTGCAATTTCATGTGATAGCGCATCTGTATGCGGCGCATTTCCGAGAAATCGCGCTGCTCGGCTTGCACACCCATCTTAATCTGACGTTCGCGCACCTCACCGCTCTGCATCGGCGCTTCAACCTGATCGACGAGAAGGAGACGGATGTACTGCGCGATTTGGAGGTGGCCCTGCGGCTAACCGACGACACTGCTGGTTGCCAGGATGCCAACTCCACTGCGACATCGTCGTCGTCGTTGGTGCACGAGCACACCACCTCCGAGCAACACCAGTCGCTTCAACAGCAGCAGCAGCAACAGCAGCAGCAACACCACAACAGCGGCAGCAACAGCAACAGCACCTCTTCGGCGGAGGCGTTGCACACGGTCAATTCACAAAGCAACAATGGCAGCACATCCGCGTCCGTTTCCGTTTCCGCTTCCCTCATCGATGGCGATGCGGTGGCGCCGCCGATCTGCACGCAACCGGAAGCGGGAGCGGGCTGCAAGCCGGCAGGGAGCAGCGGACTGCTGGGCGGCATATTGGGCGACCTGACCAGCGGCGAATTTGGTGATACAACGCGCTACTGCACCTCGGCGGTTCCTCAGGCGGCGACTGTGGCTGCGGCGGCGGCTGGTGGTGGGGTATCGACCACGGAGGTTGCCGCCGCCACTCTGAACAATGGCGCGGGCGCACTACATTTAAACTTTAGCAACAATAATAACAATAATCACTTGAACCATCACCACCATCATCATCATCACCATGGACATGGACACCATGGCCATCATCATCATGCGGCGGCGGCGACGCATCAGCATCAGCAGCAGCAGCAGCATCAGCACAGTGGGCTCATACAGTGCAATGCAGCTGGCGGCGGCGGCGGCGGTGGTGGCAACGCAACTGGAGGGGTAGCCACCGGCGGAGCCACTGCAGCAGCATCCTCAACCACCACGGCATAGGTGGAACAGCAGCAGCAGCAGCAGCAGCCGCAGCAGCAGCAACAACAGCAACAACAAAAAACATTAGAAATACTAGATTTACGCAAAAATGTTATTTAATGTTACTTCTATGATCCTAAAGTTGAAAATATTGTAAAAATAATAAAAACAAACAAAAAAAAAAAAGAGAAAGAGAAAACATTAAAATGCAAAAAGCAGCTAATTGCAAAACAACAAGCAGCAGCCATTACATAAATGACACACACACACAAGCTACAAAATTATTATTGAATAGCTAATCGAAGTTGGCATCGTAGTTCCGTAACGTTGATTTAGATATGTACTTATTGTATAGAGAGACAGGGAAAGTTGAGAGCTGCAAGCATAGAGTTTAGAGTTTAGAGTTGTCGCGTGCTTATGCTTTACACGTATTTTAACCTTCCTCTTCTGCAACAAATAAAATGTCCTGACTGAAAAGCCTGAGTGCAAATGCAAAGTCAACGCCTTCAAGGCCAAAATAATAATAATAATAAAGAGTTTTGAACTACTCCAACAATTGGTAAAAAAAAAAAAAGTCACTTTTAAAAAGGATTATGTTTCTTAGGAGAGCTATTAAGGCTAGTTTTCTTTATGAAATATTTAATGCCAAACTTAATGAATTTTGTATTATTTATTTTTTACCAACCTTTTTTAGTTAGTTTAAACAAAATTTGTTTCAAAAATGTAACGAAAGTTTATTGTGTAACGCTTGGGAGAGAAACTTTTACAACTTTCTATCAACTATTTCGGTTCTAAGTATTTATTTAAATAATTTTGTTTGAGTTTTAGGGCTTTGCTTTAACCTAAACAGAGTTACATTTTGAAATAGAGCGTATACTGGTTCAATTGTTCAGGAACATAGACACACACACAATATTCCACTAGACGGTGAAACGCGACGCAGTTTTAAAATAGCAACTCACCCGTATTTTACATGCAGTGTACTTGGCACAGCCAGCCTAAAAGTATGCACCGAAAAGTCACCTTCACGAACTGCGAACATTCGCCTAACGGTATGCACCGAATATTTCACCACTTATGTACCACACCTCACCACTCACACACACACACATCCATGCATACACACACAAGATCGCACCAAATAATCGCCGAAAAGTATGCAGGGGAAAATACAACCCACTCAGTTTGGGATCCACACGTTGTTAAAGTATGGCAATTTTAAACCAAGTTTATAGTGATTGGAAACATTTAATATTAAATATAGGGGAATACCATGCTTCGGATTTCTAACAAACTAAAAACACAGATGGGACTTGTATGTGTTGTGCTGTACTGTGTTGTGTTATTAACCCCAAAGCGAAAACAAATGGCAATGAAGGAAACTTACTTTAGAAACAGCAGCGTTCAGAGTAGAATATTAGAAGCAAATTTTATGTATTACAATGATTCAACTGCAATGCAACTTGATCCACTCCAGTTTCACTGAACTACTGTCCAGACCTAAGCTAAAAAAAAAACAAACTATACTCCTAAAGAAATCACACACACTTTCGATCTGATGAACTTTGAATGCGATGCAATGAACTCAAACAAATGAAAAAAAGAACACAAGGAAAAAGATACATGTATTATGTTAATAATAGAATACAGGTGGAATGAAATTAAATGCAAAGACAAACCTTTTAAGTCAGCAAAAACAAATAAATGCAAAAATGGCAAAGAGAGAAGATAATAAAATAAACTGTTATGTTCAATTGAGATGTGATGTTTTATTAAGGAATATATGCTGGGTAAAAAAGTTCTGGGTCTAATCTTTATTAAACTGTGATGGAATTTAAAAAAAATTACATTTTTTCCTTTTTTCGGAAGTGATTATTTATTATAGAACATGTGCTGGTTAAAACGATGGCAATGGTAATTAAATATACACTTAAACTAAAGGCATCAATCTAAATTTTTTAGTTTATTAAGACAAAGTCTTCATTGAATTTAAGATCACGAAACAATTTTTCTTTCTTTGGCACATTTATTTCGACATAGCAAAACGAATATTTTTAAAAGCTAAATTTATTGTGCGACAGCGACTTGGTTAAGATGAGTAGCTGGTAAGAGATGATCGATTGCTGACTCTTAGGCATATATAGTTAAATGGTAATGGTAACTTCTCTAAAACCAGGTTGCGTAGTTCCCTTGTTGAGCTTGGTCGTACAAAACGTCATGCGGACTGCAGCTTTGTAATCGAAACCGAGGGCGGTATCAGCAAAACTTTCTCCTGTCACAAACTGATCTTCAGTTGCGCCTCCGACGTTTTCGACCGGATGTTGTACGGTGACTATAAAGAGTCCAGCAGTGGGGTGGTGCGCCTAAACGATGTAGAACCGGATATTTTCGAGAAATTTCGCGACTACCTTTACGGCTATGAGTATGAGAAGCTGCAGACGTATGACTTTGATACGCTAACACGGCTCTGTGAATTTGGCAACAAATATCTGGTGAAATCGCTGGAAGAGGACTGTGTGCGGGAACTGCAGATGCGCAAGGACACCTTTGACATGGGTGAGATACTCCGGCTGTTCCAGTGCGCCCATCGGTTGAATAGAAAATCACTGATCGACCAAATGGCCTGGGAGCTCAAGATCACCTTTAAGGGCACCCTCGACCACTCGGGCGTATACGAATTTAGCTGGGCTGTGTTCAAGCACTATATCGAAGTGATTGCCGGCAAACTATCCGAAGCAGATCGCTTTCGTTTGCTGGAAATGTATCTCAAATACAATGGTATCGAAGATGCCGAAAGCTCAACTCAGGTGGTAAACATTGCAAATCCCCCACTTGGGACAGCAAATGATGATTTGGAAAACCCATCTTTGGTGTTACCATCAGCTAGCTCCCCGCCGCTGCAGACCAAGGAGGACATCAAACCCAACTATGTGGCCGATCTGATTGGCCTGATTAAGTTTGGCGAATTCTCGCCCAAAGAGTTCCACGAGGGTCCCGGAAAGTCCCGATTTCTGAGCCTGGCCCAGAAGTACGAGCATATGTATCAAATCGCCCAGAATGGCGTTCTCGCGCGGGAGAAACTACTGCTCAAGGCGGGATCGAGATCGAGATCGGGATCACGTACGGAGCAGATACCTACGTTCCAATCCCACTCCCGACGCGTGGTGGCTCTGGGTGGAACTTTGGTACGCGAGGAACACACCACTCCTTCGTTAACCACCCGCTTCTCTCACTCTTTTCCACCCCTATGGCCACAACATGAAGCCATCTGATCTCGTACTTATTATATGTACATATACATATATAAATCGGCTCACATCTCAAATAAAATTACTATAGTTTTTGGAATTTATATTAAACAAGGACTGAATTTAGTTTTTGCCTTACAGATTTTCCTTTTCAGCTTAACGCAACCAAAGAAAGCTTCCAAAATATTGGCATTTTTTTAAATTCATTAAATGAAAAGTATGTTTATACAATCTGAAAAAACGTCTGTTTTTTTTTTGGGTATTTAAAAGCGAGATACTTGTTTTGGGCATTATTGAGTTTACAATACGATATACAATACAATGTTTTTCATTTTGCATAAAGATAAGTACGACAAAGACTTTAAAGAATTTTTAAACAAAATTGCAAATGTTACAGGGTGCACTTCGTAAAATGTATCTTGTTTTTGCATATAAGTACATAAAATAATTGTTTGCCTACCGAACCTGTTTACAAATTAGAAATGCTGATAAACAAGCCTCTTCAGAACAGTATTTTCATTTCTTATCAATATGTTGGTCCTCACAAAGTATTTAAAACACTACGAAAAAAATTTAAAATAATTTGTATAGCAAATTAAATAATGCTTAGCAATAATTTTTGTATTTGTTAAGTAATTATTATTTTGTATTTATATGTTGTTATTTACAATTTACATAGTATATTTATATTATAAATATTTTGTAATAATACATTATTTAGTTTTTATTCAAGCTTGCTTACTTTAGGTTTAAAATTAAATGGACAAATATTTTTTAGTGTACCTTCTGGTTTGTCCCTCTGTTTAAAACACAAAAGCAAATGAATTCAGCTGGATGTCGTACTTTCAGAGAGAAGCGTTCTCCGCTCACAATTCTCAGTTGTGTTTGGATCACGAACCAAAGCAGACGCATCAGAGTTTAGCGAAAAATCAAGTCGCCGGCTAATTGAGTAAATGGCAATCTCCGCTTGGACGCTTCTGGTGGCGATGATCGCATGGCGATCTGGAGCGGAGGTCGAGGCACAGGTGCCGGGTCCGCGGACTCGATACCAGCCCAATTGGGCCAGCTTGGACCAGAGACCACTGCCCCAGTGGTATGACGAGGCCAAGGTGGGCATATTCCTGCACTACGGCGTCTACTCGGTGCCCAGCTTCGGATCCGAGTGGTTCTGGACTAACTGGAAAAGTACGAACAACTTGTAAAGTACTGGTATTTTTAATTAAGATAAAGTTTTTTTAAATAAGCGTGATAAATTAGTGAACCCAAAAAATTACACAGGACACTGGTAAACAAAATATATGCCACATATTTATAAACCTATGAATACTATGAATATTACATTACTATAAATATTACATTTAGCGCTTTTATGGTTACTATTTACAAAACGATCACCAATAAATCTAAATTTTTTCCAATACTATAGATTTAAGATTAGTTGTATTAAAGGTTCCCCAAAAATCTCGGGAACCTTTTTCTGAACTTTTTTTTAAATAAGTTTAGCATTATACTAAGCCTAAAAAATAATTCTCATTTTATTCCATATTTCATGTAAAGAAGTGTAATTTATACTTTTTTAAGAAAGTAGTGTGTTTAAAATCTTGTATACTTCTCTTCTTTAACTTACTGTTTGTTTTTTATAATTTTTAAATTTAGTTAAATGACTTGATCACTTCCAGATCTCCGAAATCCCGACTACATCCGATTCATGCAACGCAATTACAAGCCCGACTTTACTTATCAGGAATTCGCCGACCAATTCACTGCCGAGCTATTCAATGCCACTCAGTGGGCGTTACTTTTCAGAGATAGCGGAGCCAGGTACTCACATACATCATAGCATACTAGCTCATATCATATCGTATATATATATCTCTTTGATCGTTATTTCCCATTACAATCTAGATACGTAGTGCTGACCAGCAAACATCACGATGGCTTCACGCTGTGGCCCTCGAAGAGCAGCTTTGGATGGAATTCCGTGGATGTTGGACCCAAACGGGATATAATCAGTAAGTAAAGTAGGTCTCTCTCAAAAAACAAACTGGGAAAAATAGAATAATACAATAGGTAATCTGCAGAGTTTGGCAGATTGTTTTTCTTTTTTTTTTCAATTTATCTATAGGCGTTATTTAATATTTAGGTTTACCAAAGGCAAACCAATTTGTAAATTATTATTGGTCTTTTAGTTTCTCATATTACATAAGTCACAAGATTTAATGAATTTTACATTTTTTACCTTTTCTCTGGCTGTAAAGTTATGTCTCTATCAATTTCAAAAAGCTTAAAAATGTATCAAACGAAATATAAAAAATGGTACTTAATTTTTAATTTTCAATGTCATACTTAAAAGATTCAAATTTAAATTGTGTTTGCTATTTTAATTTCTTATATTATTTTGTAGTACGCTTCTGGTAGACCACTTAAATTTGTTAATCAAATTTGTAATTCAAAAACTAAAGTTGATTTATATTACTATATTTTATTTGTTTGTTGACATTTGAAAGATTAAATTTACATATTATTTTGTCCTTTTCAGAGGAACTTTCGGCCGCCGTTCGAAAGGAGTCCGATCTGAAGTTCGGCCTATACTATTCCCTTTTCGAGTGGTTCAACCCGTTGTGGACCGACGACAAGTTGCATCTGCTGATGCAGCAGCAGTTTGTGGAGCGAAAAGTGCGTCCGGAGCAAATGGAACTGGTGCAGCAGTATCTGCCGGAGATCATTTGGTCCGATGGCGATTGGGAGGCTCCGGCCAAGTACTGGCGTTCCGAGGAGTTCATCGCCTGGCTGTACAACGACAGTCCTGTGAGGGACACGGTGGTGACCAACGATCGCTGGGGCTTCGGCACTGCCTGCATGCACGGCGACTTCTACAACTGCGCCGATCGCTTCAATCCCGGGGTCCTGCAGGCTCACAAGTGGGAAAATGCCTTCACCCTGGACCGCAAAAGCTGGGGCCAACGATTCGATGTCAGTTTGTCCGATTTTATGACCTCAAAGGAAGTCATTAAAGGTGGGTTTAACAAATACACCTATGAAAAACGATCGAAAGTTCATATTTAAATTTATCATGATGTCATAATTTTCAATTAATGTGCAAAATATTGGTTTAAAAAGGCGTCCTTTTTTGTAAAAATGATTTAAATATAATTTTAATATTTCCGATATTAAAATCTAATATTTAAATTGTAATTTCCACATTTAGAATAACCAACAGCTGCAATGGATAAAATTCAAATTTAGTGTGCAATACTTGGATTTACTACTTTTATGTTTCACTTATTTTCCCAATTTTTTTTGTAACTTTCAGAAATCGTCACCACTGTCAGCTGCAATGGCAATGTTTTGATAAATGTGGGACCCACCAAGTTCGGCACTATTTTGCCCATTTTTGAGGAGCGTTTGAGGGACATGGGTCGATGGCTTAAGACCAATGGCGAGGGAATTTATGGCAGTGTGCCATGGATTTACCAGAACGATACTGTGACACCCAGTGTTTGGTATACGCGACGGCAAAGCGCCTCCAATGGCAACATAACCATATACGCATTTGTTCTGGACTATCCGTACGACTCAAATGAACTGGATATATATCCACTTGGCAAGGAAATCAATATCTTCCGCAATGTCATGCTGACTGGCATCGATTTGGGCACCGGTGGCGAGATCCTTAATAAGCAAAGCACTCAGGTGGTTATGTTGGGCATGGAGGACACCAAAATAAAGGTTCGCAAAAGAGACCATTGAGTATTGGTTGTGATCTAATAAAAAATGTTTCTATCTCTAGTGGACCTCGGCTCACAACAGATTGCACATTGAGTTTCCTCCTAAAAACCACATCGATAAGCGAGGACTGGACTTTGCCTGGACTTTTAAAATAACTATAACGTAGGACAGTCCATAAATAAGTTTGCTTAATTTTGTATAATATTATATAATTAATCAGGCATAAATAATTTAAAAATCTAAAAAACATTAAAACAGATATAATCAATACAATTTTGTTTATATCAAATATATATTAGTAAATCTTTCGCAAACTAACAAATAATGATTGACTTTAAGGCAAAACGAAATCTATTCATTAATTTTAAAGGAATAAAATATTTTATGATTATTTTTGCTATATAATTAAACTAAATGTGTATTTTTTTTTTGACCATTTGGAAACCCAACTTTAATATTAACTCAACTTTCGAATCTAAATAAAAAAACAAGAATATTTAGTTCTTCATCCCAAATCTTCTCAAATAAACAAATCCAAGTTCGGTTGTATCAAACTATCAATCTTAATGTAAGAATGAATAAATCAAGGCTAAATCATGATTCATGACTGTTTTGTTTATTATTCAAGATGACGGACTTGTTAGTGTCTGGGTATTTTCGTAGGATATGCTAGGGAGTGGTGTCCGCGTCCTGTTTGGGAAGCGGTGTCCGGTGCTTGTGGGCCGCCAGTTGGGCCCGGGAAAGGACTCCGCCGTCGCAGGTGACGCAGTGGTAGTGGGTGTGCCGCTGGGCGTACGAGCAGCCCGGCGAGTCGCACGGCTCGTTGCCGCCCACCTTGCGGAATCCGGCACTGCGCACGTAATCCTGGCGGAGATGCAGTCGCCGGTGGGCCACCACCTTGTTGGAGTCCGTGCACACGTAGTCGCACTTGCGGCAGTGGAAGTGCGACGTCTTCCTGGAGGCTGCCGCCGGATCTGCGGAAGATTAAATGGAGTTTGAGCATCAGGTCGGTTATTGGCATAGCTTATAAACCTATTTTCGAAAAATAACATATTCCAAAAAATAGCCAAAATTCGTCTCTACTTTGCACTCTAAAGATGTACAAAATGTAAGCTAGATCGGATGCATAATTTATAGATAACCCATCGATTTCCGGCGGAACTAGAATTTTACTCCGTAGTTTAACTATTATTTGCCCAAAAATATAATATTATTACCATTTATAAAATTGTTTTGTTTGTTTTTTTATTTTTAAGAGCTTAAGTTTCGACAAATTAAAAAATTTGGCAACCTACATTAAAAATACCATCTAATACCATTCTATATTTCCTTTAGTTGTTTTATTGTATAAAAAAAAATTCTTCCATAAGTACAATATTAAAGCATTTGACGTTGAAGATAACGACAGACCTCCAGCATCCGAACTATAATGCCATGGCATTTATCGGAATAAAAATGTAAAACTGTGATTAATGGACTGCAAAATAAAATGTAAACTAGAAAAATTGATTGGAATAAATTGGAATAAAAATCCATATAAAAATATATATATTTAAAACAAATTTGTTAAAGAATGGTTTGACATACCTATCCGATTTTGGTTGATGGTCTCCCCAGTTCGACCTGCTGAGGCGGCGTAGGAGCAGCTGGCCACTCCGCACTGCATGTTGGCCCGGAACTGGAGAAAGTCCTCGCCCATCAGCGTGTCCATCCGTTCGTGGCGAGCCGTATGCTGCACGAATCGGGTCTTGTCGCAGAAACTGTAGTGGCAGTCCCGCCGGTTGCAGTGGAAATGCGACTGATGGTTCCGGTAGCCGCACCTCTCGAAGCCACAGTCCTCGTTGAAGCGGAACTTCAGGTAGCCACTGGGAATGTCGTGATCCCGGATCCGCTTCACCGGCATCCTTTGGCCAGTGTCCGCCGTGGAAGTGATGGTGGCCCCAGCTGTTGATGCTGCATTTGCAGCTGCATTGAGGAGCAGCAACTTTTGGTGGGCCGCATTCTCCAGCAAAAGTCGCATGTCGAGAAGGGGTCCATTTATCGCTCCCGATCCCGACCCCGATCCCGATCCAGATCCGGATCCTGGCAATACCATAGGTTGTTGACTGGCTGCTGCCAAGAAGCTGGGCAACAACACCTGTCGCTGATACAAATCGATCAGCTGCTTGAACTGCAGCAGATTCATATTCAAAGCTGGTCCCACTTCCGCCGCCGTGGCAGTTGCCTCCGGTAGGGAAGGTCGCATGCTCAGATCCTCCGGCTGGTCCACTTCCGGGTCAGCCGACTCCGGGCCACTAACGAACCTCGAGCCAGCCGCATCCGGCACTTCTCGATGCGAAGCTGAACTCGCATTCTCCGGATAGAAAGTTCCCGCCGCACGAACAACTTTAGTTGGGTGACAAATTTACAAATGAATTAATAATAAGAAAAACAATGTAAAGTAAGCTAAGTAATTACAATTTTTATTTGATAAGGACTAAAACTAATGGATATAAGAATTTCGTACTCATTGAAAAGTATTGATCAGTAGTTCTTTCAAAATAAAAATCCCAAATAACGATAATTTTTTATTTCTGTTATTTATAATTATAAAACTTCTTATGTTAAGATTGCTACAGAAGGGCGAATTTGTTAAATTTATTAGAAGTTTACAAAACGAAGAAAGAAAATAAAAATAAAATTGTTGTTATTATTCTACTCTATGTAATTGTTTAAATTCAGGTTTTCTTATTATTCTCATTCCTTTTTTTGGGTTTTGTCTTCATTAAATTGGAATTTTAAGTTACTCCATATACTAAAACTTACCTGAAACTTTATCCAAAACTCTGCTTGATGGATGCTTTGTTGCTCCTGTTTCTAAAGATTCTGAAGGCTGTAAAGAGGGCTGCAAAAATAAATTAACCACAATAAGAAATTAACAAAGTCAAGCATATGAAGCTTTTTCTATTTCTAAAATTGTATGTTTCTTAATATTTTGGATCAAACTATATAAGAAGGGGTATTCAGTATATAAAAAAAAGTGTTTTGCCTGTTTTTGGACATAATTTCAAAAGAATTTCAAATTAGTTTTTAATTTTATATAAAATATTACCTGGGCTAAAGACTCATTGCGGCTACTCGCTGCCAAACGGGGCATATAAATGGAGCTTCTCTTGCTCGACTGCTCCGACGATGGAAGTGATGATGGGGCCCAAACACGACCCCTCTTCCGGTTCCGACTAGCTGTGAGATCAGTGGCCGACGATACGTCGTGATCCGCCAGAGACAAACGATCCTCTGCGCTGTCCACATTTGGGCCACTGGGAACACTGGATGCTCCGTGGACGGAGTGATCGCTTCGCTCCAGCTTGAAACTGGTGAAGATGGCCTGCGGCGAGTGCTGGGCCTGCATTTAAATAATTATAAACCAAAAAAAAAAAAAAAAATGTATAAAAAATAAAACGTATTTTTCTGTATTTGTTGACAATCGAAATCTATCTGCGATATTCCACGCAGCAATGTGGGCGCCTTTCATGGAATTAAATTACTTTGGCATGGCAGGGCCGTACTTGCTTTGCTGCCGTTGTCATTGTCATAGTTTTCGGAATTTAAATTTTGGATTTATGACAAACAGTCGGCAGCAACCAGTTTATTACTCGTATTTCCGAAATTACTGTTAATGTTTGTCGCTGGCCCAAAATGTCACTATTTAAATTTTGTTCACGCATCAAATCAATAATAAAACGAAAAAAGAAAAAAGAACGAGTGAAGTGAAAAAGCCAAAAGCAAAAACAAAGGAGGTACCATTTAAATCTATAAATACAAATGCAACCATTGGATACCCTTTAGTATCCCAAAATAGGTTTACAAAAATGGTAATGAAATAGTTTTCCTAAATAAGGAAAAATGGAAAACCATTTTATAACTTATGAAATCAGAGTTGCCAATGACTAAAGTTAGAAGCTTAATGGAACAAATTTTAATTAAATTTACAATTCAATTATTTCGAAAAGTAAATAGTAAATGCATTACAATTTTCTACTATTCCGACATATACTTATATTAAAGACAGAGTGTTTGAACACTCTCATATTCACTTATAACAATAATTACACCGAAAATATTGAAAGACAATGAAACGAGTTTGCCTTTACCCGATAAGTTGTGGCTCACACACATAAGCACACACCTTATTTGATTAAATTCGATTCCAGTGTGTATAGGAATTATTATTATTATTATTATTGCTATTGTTAGTGCGGTATATCATTCCTTTCCATCGCCATTTGGGATTATCGAAGGGGCTCAAAGAGATTGGGTGGGTGGCTAGGTGGTGGAGTGAGAGGAGATCCACCCATTGCACCACCTTGATTCCTGCGATCAATTTGGGTCACATTTTCCCCCCTTTCAAGCCGCTAAGTTGGATCGGCTTACTTCCCAAAAGAATGCCGCAAATGGCAATGGACAAAATATTTATTCAAATTTGTTTTTTTATTCACACACTGTACACTGAAAAAAGTGTTTGTTAAAGTTTTTTTTCTTTAATTTTTTTTTTTAAATTTCAATAATTCTTTTTCAAAAAAAATTATGTTGTTTGTTAATATTGCAAAATAGACTCAGTGAATATTAACGTTACAAAAATATAATCCTTGGAGAAAATATTTTCTTCATTATTTAATTGTAAAAGTTTGAATTTGCCTGACACTTTTTTTGAAAATTTTCTGTTATTATGATTTAAAGTTTCATTTTTTTTTGACCCTCTGAAATTTATTTATTTAAAACAGAAGGCTAGGGAAATTTTAGTTTAAGAAATATTTGTATAGCTTTAATTTTTTAATCTAAATAATTAATTTTTCTTTTGCACCTTAAGACTTAAAAGTTTGTAGAAATTACTTTGCTTGTCCTGTCTAAGTACTATTAATAACAATGTGTTGAAATACTTTTTATTTTTATCAGTGTACTGGCCATATTCACAGTGATCACCAAGGAGAGTGACGCGTGGGCTGGGTAATCGTAAACACACAAATGCGATGTGGTGCGTGTGCATGAGCTTGGCTCGAAAAAATGTAGAAATTATGAAAATGACAGTTAAAAGCACAAAACGCTCGTCGCCAGGGGAAGGGCATTGCGGGAAGGGGGTGGTGAAAAGGGGGGAGGGATTGGGGGGCTGCCAAGAGAAGTGCCGTCGACGACGCTAGACGGGCAAATGAAATAAATGCGGAAACACTCGTTGTCAATATTAATATGACGAATATGGCAAAAACCAAATCCGAAAACTCAATTCAACGCACAGCACACAAAATGCCGCATTAGGCCCCGTCGATCGTTTGGGGTATTAAGGGGGTGATGGAGGGGCGTGGCAGGGCGCTGAATGGCCAACGTTGCACACAAATAGGCGCAAATTCCTAATTACGATCGAGCTTCGATCAGGTCGCAGACAGACTGAAAAGGAACCAAGCAACTGGGTCGCAACAGTCCTCAAATATTTCAAATATTTTGTATCAGAACCTTGTTTATAATTTCGAAAAAAAGCTATAACAACAAAAAGAGCGGCACAAATGTTTTGAAATTAATTTTAGAATGGAAAAAGAAAGCGTTTCAATGCCGTTAAAAAATTGAAAACTCTTTTTTTTTGGGGAAATGGCGCTTTAGCAAGGTTTTTCATATAATAAGAAAAGCTTAAGTAAATTGTTTTCAAAACATCCTGCCCTAAAGATAAAAAATTATTATATCTTTAAAATGTATAATTAAAAAAAAGGCAAAGGTTGCATAAAAAAATTAAGAACCGCAATGATTGTGTTAAAAAGTATGTCAATAATAAAAATTACTAAAATTGATAAAAATTTCTCTTTTACAATGCGCGAATAATCGGCAGAGAAGCTTATAGTCAGTTATAGGGTTAGTCAACCGATTTTCAACGCTCAAGGCTTTTAGTACTATAAAAACATGACTATTTCAAATTTGTAAACTGAACTCTTAAATTGTATAGAAACAATGTCTCCTTCATTGCGTCACAAACTTCTGACCAGTTTTAAAATACCCTTTTGAAAGGGTGAAATAAAATATGTGTACCAAAAAATTCAAAAATCTAAAAATTTTATATATTTATATATTTTTGTAATTTATCAACTACAGTTTAATATCCCTTAAGACATTTCATGATACTCACGCTCTTGTAGACCTCCACGAAGCGATTCTTTGGCGGACGACCCCGCTTCCGATTGAAGAAGCCATCGATGGAGGTGATCTGGGTGGGCTGGCCGTGATCACCGGAACTGGAGGTCTCCAGCTCCACGACGGCACTGCTGCTGCTGTTGGACTCCATTCCGTGGTCTTCCCCTAAGACGATAGCTGCAGACGGGAAAAGGGTTAGGTGAGTTCGTCAAACTTTTGCTGATGGAAATGCCTGACTTGTGACTCATGCACCCCAATGCCACTCAGCGAAAATCGAGGCGAATTGCCAGAAAAAGGGGCCTTTGACCACCTTGAAAGGTTAACACCCGATCGGAGGTCAGGTTTCGGCGCCAGGCCCTTTTGCAACAGCAATTGCATTGCTCTTCACAGCCATACATTCTTTCCCTGAATTTTGTTAATTCTGCTTAAATTTTACATTAAGAAAAACAAATTTGCAATAGTTTAGAATTAAAACAATTCTTGGGATATTTCTAATATTTTGATAATCCTGTTGCCTAAGGTTTTTTGTTTTTATTGTCCGAATTCCAAAAAGGAAATTAATTTTTTAATATTGTTAAAAATTAGTTAATAAATCGATACTTTCGATGATATTGTTAATGAAATCTATATTTTGTGGATTATGCCATTATCAAAACATTATTTTTAGAAAAAAAGGATTCTGTTAATATTATTAAAATCAAAATAGTAATACTTATGGGCAGTTTTAACTTTGTTCGAGCGGAAAACTATATAACCAACCAAATGTATATCCAAAAATCTTTTTGTATATCTCTTACTTAAAGACTTTTTACACCGATATATATAATATATATATAGATATAATATAATATCTATATAATATAATGTCTATATAATATATATAGATATAATATTCTATAATTCTAAGGTTCCATAGCTCAAACAAAATGTTAACAAGTTTCGCATGACTATAAATCAAAAGAATTATTTAAAAATTTCCTTGATGAAACCTCTTTTCTTTTTTGAGTGCATGCCTTGGCCAAAAGACAGGCAATTTCGCTGGAACACTTTGCATACATGTGCTGCATATGACTCGATTGGGATCGATATTTGGCATGCGAGCATGCGGGTGGCACTGCCAATTCCCCGAGAGAGAGATCCTCGCCGGATTAGTGGCGAAATCTGTGGCCCAACTAACTCTCCGGTTACCGAAGTGAGCAAATAAGTTGATGTCACCCCGCCTGCTGCCCGCCTTCGCCCAAGTACAATGGTTCGAGATCCATTTGTTGTCAAAGGGCTCGGCGGAATGGGTGGTCGCACCAATTAGACCTCAAGGAGCTCCTTGGCCGTCGACGATTGTCTGCCGGCGATTAGTCCGCCTGGAGTTTAAATGCCTTGCCCAACCGAGAGATAGACATCTACATGAGCGAGCGTTTTTAGTCATTTAGCGGTGCCGCGCATCCATATTATCCATATTATTCAATTCAATTCGATTCGATTCGATTCGATGCGATGCGATGCACTCACTGCTGGTCGGGAGGCCAAAACAAAAGAGCCGATTCTTGAGATTGCAAAACCATTAACCAGCAATTGACAATTTGAAGGCAAGCAATTTTATCTCAACATCATCTCAAATACACAAACAAACACTCTTTCAGAAAGTTACATGTTGCACCACCCACCAATTATATAAAGCGCATTGTTTCCGTATCCTCGGATTTTACCAATCGCTATGATTTTTATTGACAGTTTGGTCGGTTAAATATCACCAACTCTTTACACGAATCAAATTAAAACACAGCCGAATTTTAATAAATAAATCGTAGCCAAACCGAAACGCGTCCAACGGCCACAAACATCGGCGCTCGAGTGGCGAGCGGATCGCAAAAGCCGACGATTTGAGCCGGGCCCAAACCGAAGTTTAAGCACGAACCGACAGTCAGCTGATCCATTGACCAAGACACAAGAGCTCTACGTACTTTGAGAAAGAATTTGTTAAGGAAAACTTATTACTTTGCCATTTAGGATGTATTGTATTCACTTGGTCAAGTAAATTTTTAAAACGTTTGGAAAAACATGATATAAAAATCGTATTAAGATTGTCAGTCGATTGGCAATCAAACCTTAACATTATATTTTGTAATCCTTGATCAAAAATTTAAAATTATTCCCAAAACTTTCAAATCCGCCGAACAAATTCTTTTCTCAGAGATCAAATCACATAGATAAAAAAAAGGAGTGGACTGATCAATTCTCATAATTTCATATGTAATTAAACAGACCAATTTATTTTTACACAGTTTATACATATAATTTACTTTACTTCCCAGCAAATGCACAAACCATCAGTATAAGATCTAAGGTGTGTAAAAACAAACTTATTTCCTTGTATTTCGTGTCTAAAGTTCCTAGTCCAAAGCCTTACCAACCTCTTACCAACTCCTACTAATCGTGAATTTTACCAACACAGAAAACCATATTAAAATGAAGTAGTTTGTATTGTGTTTTAAACAACCAGTTACTTCTGATTGTAAAAACTGTTGCTATGCTTATAAGAATCGGGTGGGTTGTTTACATTTGTGTTCTAGCTGTTTTTAAATGTAAGCACATTATTTGGGGTTAGCAAATATTTATTTCTTTCGCTCTAAAACACATGTAGCCAGAAAATACTTCTATAATACAAAGATCAATCAGACACAGCTGCCGCGGAACCCAGCAGTTAGCTATAAAACAGCGTGTTTTTTGGTCTGTCAATCACAACACTCGAGTTCTCCAGCTCAACAAGACTTTTATTGACTTGCACAAGCATCGTTGCCCAGCGTTTTGTAAGATGAAGTTCCTTTTCGTGGTCGCTCTTATCGCCTTGGCCATTCAGTTGGCTTATTCTGCAAGTGGTTCTGAAGATACTGCCACTACTACCACTGCTGCCACCACTACGACAACCACAGCGGCAACAACGACAACATCGGCGTCGGCAACCACCTCGACCACTGCCGCATCCACCCACAAGAAGCGTTGTTGGAAGGGCAACAACTGGTGCCACACACGCATCCCGAATAAGAAGTGCAAGCACCCCAAAAGGTGCCACAAAACCGTCGTGATTGTGACCCGCAGGAAGAACTAAGAGACAACTTTTTTAATTTCAACATAAATATCTAGAAAAAGATTTAGTCCTTTTTATATTCTTTTCTGGCTGGATTTTCTATTATTATGTCAATAAAATTCCCTCAACGAGTTTTGCAAATTAATAAAATTAAAACTATTCATTTAAAAGCGTTGCGTGCCTATAAGAGTTCTAAAGTTCTAAAACTTTGGTTGGCGTAATAATACAATCTTGTTAGTGAAAAAACATTTTTATATCACAAAATAGTGAATGACACAAATATGCACAAGGAACGCCACTTCGTATGACCATATAAACAACACTGCGTATAAGTAATTTTAAAGCCTTGCTGAAGTCAAATTGAAAAAATATATGGAAAATGTTTATATAAAAATATTCTTAATAAATCAGTAATCAGAATGATTTATATAATTAACTAGGCAGATGGCAGCAAAGACAAATTCCAAAATGAGTTCAGTGTTTTGTTTACATTGATACAAATGGTTTGTCCAGTATATTTTTATTTAAGGATGGGCGCCCAAACCTTGTCATTGGTCCACTTATACACTGTGGTATTATTAAAGCTGTAGAGTTTTCCAAAATCGGCATTATCTGGTAAAGCAAACCAACAAACAACCACGAAGCTGTTCGTTTTCGCCATCGTTGGTAAGTAGAGAATGTCATTGCTAAAACGTTTGACCCCAATCCTTTATTCTGTTTTTGGCACGCCCACGGATTCAGCTGAGGGATGCGGATATGGATGCGAACCATGTGATCCTGGGGCAAGACTTGCAACGGCAGTCCTGAAAGGGGCCAACTCTCTGTACAGCAGAGGATCAGGCAATGTGCTAAATAAATGTGTTGTTACTGCTGCAAGAACTAAGATCATTTTGATTTGGGCTCTATGGTTTGAAGTACGAAAGTGCAACCAAAATATGTTGTATTATTTCGATGTCTTTATTTTCAGATATAACCTTTGGAATGTTAATTTTTTCTGCGGGTTACAATCACGACGGTTTTGTGGCACCTTTTGGGGTGCTTGCACTTCTTATTCGGGATGCGTGTGTGGCACCAGTTGTTGCCCTTCCAACAACGCTTCTTGTGGGTGGATGCGGCAGTGGTCGAGGTGGTTGCCGACGCCGATGTTGTCGTTGTTCCCGCAGTGGTTGTTGTAGTGGTGGTAGCAGTGGTAGTAGTGGTAGTACCACTTGCAGAATAAGCCAACTGAATGGCCAAGGCAATAAGAGCGACCACGAAAAGGAACTTCATCTTTACTTATTGAGGGAGCGTTGGAAAAGGAAGTGAAAATGCCTTATCAAGTTGGAGCTATCGAGTGTTGTGATTGACTGGTGAACCAACAGTCGTTTTTATAGCGAGTTCTTAGTTCCGTTACAGCTGTGTCAGTTTTGTGTTAGCAAGCACATTTGCCGAAAAATAATTATGAAAACGATTTCCTCACTAAATGTGTGTCAATACGAGACAAATAAATATTTGCTAAGTTCAAATAAGCCCCAAAGACATGATTTTATTTGAAAACAGTTTTCGAGATGTTAACAAAAATCATGTAATTCTTAAACCTATTTAAATATAAGTATATTTATCCTTGGTGAGTGCAAAATGTTAAGGGTTGAATAACAAGTCAAATAACTTTATTTCTTATGTGCGCTTCAGGTCTTATACCAATGGTTTGAGCATTGGCTGAAAAGTAAAGTAAATTACATAAATGTATAAGCTGTGTAAAATTAATGTACGAAACAATCCAATATGTTTAATTTATGGTATAAAGACACATTTAAAAATAAAATTAATTTATGTAAAATCAAAAAAAGTCTAATTTAAGACCCCTTCAAGCCCACAAATAATAATCTTATTTTTATTAGTGCATTATTTATTTTATTAGTTATAATCTATGAAAAGCGAGGGGCATAAAAATCCATTTGCAATACAAACTTTATTGTTTTTAATTTAATAATAACAAAAAAGGAAATATACCCTTGTAGTTTTACTTTTTTTCTTATCTTTTCTAGTTGTCATTATTAAAAGTTTACCCACATCCCATCGAATAAATGTTTTGTGGTGATTTTAACAAAATAAACTTTTAATCAGTTTTCCAATTTATTCATAAAAATCTAAATTCTTGTTCAAAAATCCATTTCGATTTGGGTTTTATGAGTAATAGCATGAACAAACCTTTATGAAAAAACAACTAGAATATGTTGAGCTATTTTAAAATCTTTATTTTCAGATAAATCCTTTGGAATGTTAGTTCTTCCTGCGGGTCACAATCACGACGGTTTTGTGGCACCTTTTGGGGTGCTTGCACTTCTTATTCGGGATGCGAGTGTGGCACCAGTTGTTGCCCTTCCAACAACGCTTCTTGTGGGTGGATGAGGCAGTGGTCGAGGTGGTTGCCGACGCCGATGTTGTCGTTGTTCCCGCAGTGGTTGTTGTAGTGGTGGTAGCAGTGGTAGTAGTGGTAGTACCACTTGCAGAATAAGCCAACTGAATGGCCAAGGCAATAAGAGCGACCACGAAAAGGAACTTCATCTTGAATTCTACTGGGATCTTTGGGAACTGCTGGGCTTGAACTATCGAGTGTTGTGATTAACTGAAAGTTAGCCAACCATTTATATAGCCAAACGCCAAGTTCCGCCTTAACCGCGTTAGCCTTTTGCTATTTACTCCATTTTTAAGTTTTACCAACGCTTAAAGCGAGAACAGAAAATAGTCAAATATTTGCCAAGCAAATTTAACTCAATTTATGTGTAGACAAGCCCACTTTCCATCACCCAAAAGTTCAATTACAAATTTGTTACAGCAAATGAAAAACACTAAACCAAACAATAGAGTTTAAATAAAGCTGCAAATACAGAATATTTCCTATGTTTTAAATAGTTGGGCGTGTAATAATTTTTTGTTTTTTTCCATTAATCTGTCTGTTTTAACTAAAAGCTGCGTATTTTGACTTACGTTTTTAATGTACTTTAAGATCTGAAAAAACAGAGAAACATTAAAAAGAAAACCACATAATATTTTTTTCACATTTAAAAAATTTATTGTTTTTTTTTTGTATTGTATTTTTTTATTTTTTATTCAACTTTTACACAGAGAAAAAAATTAAATTGCAATCTTTGCATTTGTTTGTTTAATTTGATTAATTAAAATTTGTTAAATTGCTAGAATTTGTTAAGCGCTACTAAAATTTAAATTTGTTTTGTTTTCATTTGTTTTGCTTCATTACATACACTCATAATCATATAGGTAGTATATGGTATACATATATAATATATATTTTGTATCTTCCCCTCTCATTCTTTTGTTTCAGCTCTCGCCTTAGACTCGTTATTCGTTACAGACCTATTGCCACATATATAATGGAAATCGTTAAACCTTACTTCGTCACATAACTATATGGTGTACAACAGAGACGCACATCAGCGATATTTTAGAACAATGTTTCGTTCCCTTGAATATTTGATTTGTCGTTACTGAAACAAGCGCAGATGTGAACTGGAAAATATTCGGGAGGGAATCGGATTCTAAGAGTTTTCTTTTGCTGATTGAGCGCAGCTGCCAATGGAAAAGCAAGAGTTATGAACTGAAACTACAACTTAAAGTGAAAATGATAATGATAATGATAATGAAATCTGGCTCAGATTGCATATGGTGGGATAATCGTTTGAATTTAACTTCCTATCGATAATCAAAGATGCCATACTGATTTCGGTCGCAATTGGAATGCAGTTTTAATTTAAATTTAGATTAGGGGTCTATTTAGCTTTGAAGAAGGGGTCTCTAGTTTTACGGATAGAGAGAGTTAGAGTTATTTGCTTTCGATTTTACTTTTGAGGCGATCGTTTTTAATTGATTTGTAATTTGTAATTTGTAATTTGATTTTTGAATGCATTAATTGGTTCCCTTAAACAACACACACACATACATTGAAAATATACATTAGTACTGCCGTGGTAGTAATCATAATATTTGCCTTAGTCGGTAACTCTGTAGTCTGTAATAGAATGTGTAAAAATTCTACAATATATATAGATATATCCATACATCTATTTTACATTCATATATAGAACTTTTCGCATACCCTTTGCGTAAATACATATTTATATCCGCTTGCCTATGGGCTTGATACTTTTCACGATTTTGTTTTCGCTTTTCGTTTTCGTTTTGTTTTTGTTTTTGGTTTATCATTATTGTTTACAAAATACTTTGAGGAGCACTGGACAGATCTAAGATTCATTTCTTTCCTTGTATCTCTATACAGTTTACACTTATCCATGGAAAACGTAACAAAAAAAATCTCCGAAAACTGGAGCTTGTTTCTCTACTTCAAAGGACAATATTCGATTACAAAAAAAGCTCAAGAAAGCACACAGAAAACGCTGCGAGTTCTACAATCTAACAAGGTCTGTTAAAATCGCAAACGAAAACCGTTAGCCAATTTATATTCGGCAAATGATATTGGAAAGTCTACAAATTAAAATCTCCTACAACTACTTTGTTATTAATTTCATAAATTGAACAAAAGGAAATCATTGCAATAATTATTTTTTCTCGCTTTCTGCAAATTTAATTTTATTTAAGATTACTTTGTTTGTTATTAAATAGATCACATTCATGGTTCTATTTCTTTACTTGCTTTATTTATGTTCACATTTAAATAGTTAATACAATATATATTTAGTTTTTGTTTCTTCTCATTTATTGCTGCTACGGTGGCCCTATTTACATACACTATAAATCTATAGTATATGCATATGCTTATGTGTGTGTTTGTGTCTAATGAACGAATGGAGCTGAAAAAGTCGATACTTGAGTTTGAGATGGCTAAAACATTTGTTATGCGTTAGAGGGTTCTTGGCATTTTACACCTGGGTTAACCTAAATAAGTTTAAAGCAAGTTTTAAATACTTAAATTGTATTTACTTTTGTGTAATTTTCCTTACGCTCTTTTCTTTATCATATAATGAGTTCTTCATCTTATTAGTCGAGATCTTTGTGGGATTGATTATTGATGGAAAAAGTATTTAGTTAGTTTAAATTAAATTATTGCAAATGTTTTTTTGTATTTCTTGGTTTTATAAATAAATTCTTGTTTGCCATTGCGTGTGTTTGTTTGTCGGTGTGTTATGCACGATTATAAACTACAATTAACCTGTCGAATACTTGGGATCTGTTGTATTTTTTTTTTTTTTTTTTTTGTGGCGCATGTGAGAGCTTTAAGATATCTGTCATTTACAACAGATTTAATGAATTTTGTTTTCACTTCTTGGTTTTGTTATTCTACGCTAAAAATTATTTTAAAATTTATTAACACAGATGACTTTATATTTTCCGAAAGGTTTTGCTTCTGCCTCTTCACAATAGTTACCCATTTTTTTCATAAATTTTTTGCTTGTTTTTTTATAAATAATTTCACTGCTTAGATCTTTCGTTAATCAAAACAATTTGTTTGCCAACTAACTAGCCAAAATGTATCCATACATGTGTATAAGTTAAATATTATAACCGTTTTCTATCGATATTCATCGTTTCTTACTTATCAATTTTGTTTGTTTGTCATATCGTGTTGTTATTGTTGTTTGCTTGTTCTCAATTGTTTTTTAGTTAACTAAACTACAGATAAACACACAGCTACGCACATTGAATGAAATCTTCTGCTGGATTTAAGTTTAATTTCTCTTGTTGTTGATTTCGACTTTGCTTGTTTAATATTAAAATCTTACATTAGAAACACATCAAATATTAGAAATATTTTTCATATATATCTATATATGTATATTGTATATTCAGCCATTTGGCTACACTTTCTTCGCAGAGTTTGGAACTCTGCACAAAAACAAGAAAATAATAATAATCAATTAAAATAATAATACAGAGCTTAATCATAAATAGGTGGAAATATTTTGAGAATTGTTTGAATCTATTTATCTAACATAAATTTTGTTGCTTTGTTGTTCTCTAAGATAACTGGGATCGAACCAAAAATTACGAAATAATTTCCAATCTATTCCAAATATTCTGCAATCGGTTTTTTTGTTGTGTATGTGAGTGTATTCGTGAGTGTGTATGCGTTTATCAATATTCATAATTATTATATAATATCACATCAACTTTGTTTTTATATTTGTTATTATTAACTTTCCTCTTTCTGCTTCGGTTTATCGCCTTCGATTCTTATTGTTTGCTCTCATATATATAGAAATTTGTTAGTTTTCCTTTTCTCAATACAGTATATAGATTTATGTATGCATGCATGCGTTTAGAAGTAATAGCCTAATAGAATCGTGACAAAAAACATGTATTATACATTATGCACTGAAGTTATACATAACATATAAGCTACATTTGATTCCTGGATTATGATGATGATACATGGTGATGGTGTACACACATCCATACATACAAATGGGGTTAATACTCTATCCTTCCGATCGGGGGGTGTTACCTTGTGTTCAATCTAAAACGGATCACCGACCACCGTTCACTGAGTGAGGTTTTCTTCTGCTTGTCTGCCTTAACGTTTTACAATATTTTGAATATTCCTTATGGTTTTGTGTGTTCTGCTCACTCTCCTCGTTTTCAATACTTCTTTTTTTTTGCAATTTTTTTCGTTTTTCAAAAAGTACCTTTTTTGTTTAAGCCAAAAAGTCAGTCCAATAAGAGTTTTGAGTTGCCTGCAACTGCAGTTGATTTGTTTTTGTTTTCATTTTGGTTTTTTGGTTTTGTTTTAGAGCTTAGGTTCCAAAATAATTGTTTTTGCTTTAGCGTTGAGTTGATTTGTTATTTGCAAGAGTAAGTTGATAGTTTGTGGTCCAAAAGTTTGCCTCTACGGTTAAACATCACCTCTTTCTCTGTATTCCGCTATGAGGATCATGAATCTGCTGGATCGCGACGAAGGGGGCACACGATAGATAGATGTGGCTATTGCGATTACTGCTGTTGTTGTTTCTGCTGCTGTTACTGTTGTTGTTCGGAGGGATCGAGTTCTGAGCAGCCCAGCTATTCTGGTTCGCACTCCATGCCGCTCCTCCGTCGAGGGACTCACTGGGATTAGTAGAGTTTCTTCTTGGTCAGCGTGAAGTCGGGACTAATGTTGATAGTATTGCTACGTGTGAGGTTTCTGGTGGAGATGGACAAGTTACTTAATATGCTGGCGCACTAATTATCACTCTATGGCACTCACTTTATAAACTGCGGCAGCAGTGAGGTCCAGCCGCTCTTGTCCTGCCTCAACGTCAAGTACAACTCGAATATCGACACCGTGTCTGGGTCCACCTTAAAGGATGCAATGCGCCTGCAAGGGAAAATGGAAAATACAAGTATTAAAATATGTAACAATATCTTTTAGACATTGCCGCAACAATGGTTGGTTTTATTCCATTAGGAAGCAAGTTCTGAAATGTTTAATTTACTTTACGTTGTGATATACACACATATTATTTTTTGTTTAGTCGCCAACCTTATTGTATTCAAATACAATAAAAATCAACTGACAAACTTGTTTAATGAAGTCTATTTTCTTTTACAAATCGAGTTCAAGTAAATAGTCAGTGTGGCAAAGAAAATAGTCCCCATACTTTGAATACAATTAAATTTTTTAGAAGTGGACGAGTCCTAATGATATCCTTAAGAAGTGATTGAGTACTTTTTTTTCTGAACCTTTTCTTGCGGATCAACAATAAATCCGAGATCGTCAGGAATCCTTTCAGATTGCCCACATAGTGCCACTCACCTCACATTATTCGGCTCGCTCTCGAACTCAATGAAGAGTGTGCAGGCCCGCTCGCCACACGGCTCCCGCTCCGACATCCGGATGATCTCGGCGGCGATGCGCTGCGTGAGGTCGTTGGGCAGCGTGACCTCGGTGCAGGCCAGGTGGCGTCGCTTGGCGTCCCGCAGCTGGGCCTGCAGTTGATGCGAAAGCTCCAGCACCGCGCTGGCGCTCACGTCGTCCAGGTTGTCGGCGGCCCCGATTCGAGCGCCGGCCGTAGACTGGAGCGGCGAGGCGGGCAGTGGGTGGTGGTAATGCTGCTGCTGCTGCTGCTGCTGCTGATGATGATGGGCGGTGCTGGCCAGCACGTTGGTCATGTAGGCGTGATGATAGGCGGCAGCACTGCCAGCGCTAAGCGGCACCTCGAAACTGGCCGCAGCCACCGGCGAAGTGGCCTGCTTGGGAGTGGTCACCACCCCTCCGGCTCCTCCTCCGGCCATCGGACCACCGCCCCCTGCCGTTGGGGGCGTGGCGGGTGGGCGCGTATTGAGCGCCTGGTGCTGTCGCATATGGAGCACGGAGGCCGGATGGCCATCCACCACGTCGACGTCCAGTACACCCTCGCCGGCGGCTGTGTTCCCGTTCACGTTTCCGTTCACGGCCGCGGTCAGCTCCTCCTCCTCCTCCAGCGGTGCCGTCGCAGCTTGCCAGTCTGAAAAAGACCAGATACGTGCATTTAGTTAAGGTAATCAAAAAATATATATGTATTTGTATATTTCAGTATTTAATTATCATTCTGATTACATTACATCTAAATTTTATTTATGGAATACATGATTTCATTAAACAAAAATACTTAAATATTTTAAACATTACATTTTTTTTCTTTCCTTTTAGAATAACTACACTATATACAATTTAATTATTGAGCAGTTTCAAATTTAAAAAGAACTCGATGCAAGTTATAGAATTCACCTGAATTGAGGGATGTCAGAACGTAAGCTGGTTATGTAGAAAATTAGAGAAATATTTACAGCATTGAAAGAATTTTATCCGTTTAATGTTAATGGATACGCGAAAACCGGCTTGGAAAAGTTCGAGTTACGGAAGTTCAACTGTAGTTTTGGATGGCACATCGACCGGCAAAGAGTTCCATGTGGGAATGGAAGCGAAAAAAATCAGCTGATGTCTGAGACTCGGGATCCACACTCGCGTTCCACTCAGTGGATCCGGAAAGAGAGAAGTGCGCAGACTCCGCTTCCAGGGTGAGTGATGAGGGGAGAGGCGAGGGTCGGGGGAAATCACCTGGCAACAACAGCTGGAAAATCAGCCGTTTCCCGTTTCCAGCTGACGCTCTCTCTCCTTCTCTCTCTTTCTGCCCCCCAAGTCAGCAGTTTGTGTCTTACCCCCTCCGTTTTACCCCCTTCGCTCGACTTCCTCCATTGCTTTTATTTCTTTTGCTGTTACTTTATTACCCGACCAGACGATAAAAAGCGGAGCTCAACTCCTCTCAAAAACTCAACTCCAATGAGCTGGGAATTCAGTGGTACAGTGGACGAAATTTGATTAAAATAAATTCTTTCGATGCAGATAATTTAAAACAACTTTTGCAGTTCTTATGTATTTTGGAAATCCCTTAGTCAATTTTTATTTTGGTAATATAGTAACACCAATGATTCTCAAAATATCCAGAAAAAAACGTAAGATTCTTGATTCAATTCTTTCGATTTCCTTGATGTTTTGACTTCAACAATAGATTCATACTCCTATCGTGTGAGTGTAAGTGCAGCAAGTACAAATTAACTACTTGGCTTGTCTCAACAGCGCCTTGTAATTAGCGCGGAAACTTCTTAAAAAGGGTCTCCGTTTCTACCCTCCCATCCCATATTCCCCTGTTTTTGCCCATGCCGCCCACGGTATAATCATTGCAATGTTGCTGAATGGACAATTTGCTCTCGTTAACTTTGCATGTATATCTCTATCCTGCTCCCACACTCCTGCATCTTGCATGCTCTGCCGTTCTCTCTTTTCTTCCATATTCCTCTGGTTCCTCAGCACACTCGCGTAATTAAGAAATTAACGGCACATGTTGGCGGCTCTGCATGTGTCCACATTTCTGTGCATCTCTTTTCCTCTCACTTAAAGTCTCCCTCCCACTGCGTATGTGTTATTGGATTTTGTCAAGTGCCGTTGTCTCCACCTCCACAAAAGGGTTTGTGCGAAGTCAAAAAAGCGAAAGCCAAATAGAACCATATCAAAAAAAAAATGACAGCGACCACACACTTAATTACGAAGCACATAACCAAATGTGTATGTATGTATGTATGTATATTGTATGAATGTAGGAATGTACTTCTGTCACAGCTGCGAACAAATTACTAGCTGTAAAACTCTTCTCATAAATTTATAAAGTCTTGTTATCTTTACGAACCAATAAAAGAATTCTATAAATCGTATCAATCCTATAGCTATTTCCCCTCTAGATATTTCTGTGCCACCCAAATTTTTTAATTACTGAGCAAAATATACTAAACATGTTTAAAAAAAAATAAACATAATAAAAATATACAAAAAAAATATACATATATTTTTTTTAAATTAATCCTGAGAGAGATTTAAAAGCTTACTCATTGTTTAGTACGCTAGATTTTGTTAAATTTTAAACAAAAACAACAAATTGTATTTAACATGTAGGCAACAATGGTCTCAAAAAATTGGTCTACTAAAATAACTCATACGACACGTAAGCCTGTTAAAATTTTGTAACAAAAATCCTTTATGGAACAAAATAATTATTTTTTGTGGAGTTCAAACCAAGTTCACGCCACCTGACTGAAATTAATGTATCAAATCGAAGACGACAGTACGTATGAGTAATAAATTCAAAGCGCAAGTCCTTAAAATTAAAATTGTTTCTAATTTAATCATAAATGCACCAATGCTTGTTACCTCCACTGTACTTACACATTTACATATATACAAAGTAAATTGTACATACATACGTATGTAAACATTTATGTAAAAGGATGTGTTTTGAGGGTGGTGAATTGGTATGCATATTTGCTTTTGGAAGAGAGATGGGCATATTGACGAACCATTCCCCACCCCCTTCCGTTTGCACTCTTCCCCTTCATCTCTTCCTCTTACACTGTCTTACTTGCCGCAGCAATCGTGGAGCATTTGTGGTTGTGTATTTTGTGCATCCGAAATTACAAAGAGCAACAACAACGAGCACAAGAGTGTATAACAATACCTGCGAAAAGAAGAGGAATCAGCAACGCAGCATCAGCCCATCCAAGTTAACGGTAAACCGCAAACATGTCTGTTCTTGTTCGCTTGTATTTTCCTTGTTGTTGTGCAGTTGGGTGATTGAGACGCATAGAGGTGGTGAAGCGTGGGAGGGAAAGGGTGGGAGAGATAGGTGAGCTTCGGACTTATTACTTTTCTCTCTCAGTGCGTGGCGTCGCTTGGCCTTGAGATTCAATTTTCGCGCACTTCGGGATGGCAATCATGTTTTTACAGTGAATACTGGCTAAGAAAAACGAATACATTATTTTCCATACTCGGAATGGATTGTTTCAATTTACATCCAAAGTTTCTTTCATATGTATTAAACAAATCTAAAAACGCAGTATAATTTTTTTATTGTGAAGGAGGAATCTGGTTTACAAAATTTTTTAGCCAATAATAATTTTTACTTTAGTTAGATGCCTATTTAAGTGTGTGTACACACTTCCTTATTTTATCTAATGTTTACTGTAATACTGCTTTGAAAATTGATAATTCTGCTGCTTTTATTTTTAGACTCTCCACTTAATTACCGAAGTAAACCGTTTGGTCTCTTATCAAAGTTGATTGTTCAGTCCCATTCTGTTTTGGATCTTCAATAAAACCTCGCTAATCGAGTTAAATTGGTTGTAAGACAGTCAGTCCATGGACTGTGCTTCGTATGTGTTTCTGTATGATTGCTGATATGTACAGTGTACAAAGTATATTTGTATGAATGCATGTATGTATGTATGTATGTATGTTAGTTATTTTTTTGAATCAATAAGCAGTCTATAAATAATTCATTTCTCTCAATTTTGGAAGTCATTCGCATTTGTACACCTAAAGGAATTATTTGGGAACCCCTACGAAGCTAAATTTAAATAAAACCTACTCATGTGATTTATAAATATTAAATCTACTTCTTGATAACCCTTTTTCGCGAGATACATGTATGTGTGTACATATCTTCATATGTATGTAAAATATAAAGGAATCTAAAGAGTTATGTATGTATGTATCCATGGACAGGGCATAACTATTGTTTATTCAATGGAATTAAGTAATTAATTAAGCAACGTTATTGCCACTATTCTCTTGGCGCCTCTCTTTTTGGGCCTCATCCTCAGGAGTATTACTGTGTGTACATACATATGTATATTTGACTATATAAAAGCGCATATGCGCTCATTTTCTTTTATAGAATTTCCATTCGGAATAGAAGTTAACAAAAAAAAATGCAATCCCCAGGTTTTATTACTAACTATTTTTTTTACACAAATTAATAAAGAAGTCAAAGAAGTCAAGGCTATAAACAAATTTATAAGTACTGACATGTATTCATTTAATATTCGTAAAATTTAAAAATTCTAAAGATTACTAAAATTTGTAGCCCAGCTGTATATGTACATTGTTTACAGGGAAAGAATAATGACCATGTGTTGGTGAGGCTGGTTCTTCGTATGTCCTTCGAAAATAAAATTGCATGCGCTCAGTCAGTCATGAAATTAAATTGACTGCAAATACATACGTTGCCAGGGGCGTGTAGGGGCGGTACGGGAAAAGGGGTGGCTCAGAGTCTGAGGTTTGGTTGGGTCTGCAGAGCTTTGAACGCGATGCAAGCCAGCAACAAGGTGGGGAATATTTTCAATGCGGCCCCCTCAGCTTTTTTCACGCCAAATCTGCCATTCCAGACCATTAAGTCTTTTGATTGGAAAACAGTCCCTTACATTACAAGCATTAAAAAAAAGCCTGTGCTTAAAAAAGACTGTGGCTTTTAAAACTGAACTTTTAACTAGTTTTTAAACACATAAACTTTTAAGGCTAATATTAAATATACGTTTTTTTTCTTTAAAAGGTCCAAGCCAAAATTAAAAGAACCATAAAAAACTAGTACCGAATGCTGAAAGCTTACAAGAGTCTTGTTGGCCACGAATCGATAACGTTTGTTGAAGAAAAACCATATTAGTAAATTTTTATGATTGTACATGTTCTGTTTGATACTAAGCATTCATTCTTAAAAATGAAAAATATGGGTATTAAGGAAATTCGAATCTAACGGCGGCAAAAAATCTTGTACATATGTATGTACATTCATATTGTTTTTATAACTACGTACATATTTACTGCTTTGTTGATATTTATAACACAATGTTCAATAATATGTATATTATTTAAACCGCATTCCCGCTGAAATTGGCAACACTGTGGGTAACGGTAAATCTGCGGGAGTTTGTGTGCGCGGCGACATGTCGTTGCATGTCGCTACCACCGCCGCTTGTTGTGTTGTGTTGTGTTCGCCTCTGGGTGATTTTACATTTTTTGCTGTTTTTGGCTTACGTGCTACGTGGCAATATGGCTATATGCATATGCAATCCCTCCCTGATGCCCTGGCGGCCGTCCCCCGTCTAATTTGCCCAACTTAACTCTTTCTTGCTGCCGTGGTGCAAAGTTTAAAGTGACAGGATTAACAGGATGTTGCATAATCCGCCCGTCAGACACATGAACAGGATACGCCCGCCTGGCTTCGGACAGGAACAGAGTGCAAAATGCATAATGCAAATTTCACATTTTTGCAACCCCCTTAACGTCGCTTTATCGGGTTGTAAAAGTACACATACTTTCGTGAAAGAAAATCTGGTTCTTGTTTTACCAAAAAAATATTGGAAATTTTGAAAATTTAAGATGTATTTGACCTGTCAGGGTTAATGAAAAGCTTAATTTATAAAAACACTCAATGCATTAAGCAATCCATTAGAAATCAGAAGCAACATACATATGTATGTATGCACATATATAAAAAATATTCCATTGGTTAGAAAAATACTTGAATAAATGAATTTTATAATCTCTGGAAAATTTGCTAAAGACATCAAATGAAATGTTGCCGTACGCTATTAAGTTAATTGAATCAAAAAAAGGAAAATAATGGGTCATAAACATGAAAAATAAAAATGTTCGTGGCACATTAAAATATCCGAAATGTGCCTTAAATGAGAATTCTTGCAAGAAACGACCCGAGTGGATTTTGTAATTTCACAAGGTGAGCAGCGACCTCAAATTTAGTTTTAATGCGTGGCAGGGCATTAAAATTAATCAAGCGTAATAGCAGCGAACAATACATTTTTAATCATGTTTTTTTTTTGATTGCACCTGATTTTAATACTTCTGACTCCGATGTATTCGTTGACTTGATTTGCAATTTACAATTAACATAAAACACAAATGTTTACTGGAAATGCAGAAGAACTCGGTTTTCTTACGAAAAAAATCTATAATCACAAGTCAAAATGTTTATCTTGTTTATGAAACTTTATTTTATGTTGCTTGTTCTTAAGGTTTTCAAAATAAATTTTGTTGAAACAAAAAAACAGCAGACTGCTTAGATTTTAAATTTTTGAGCTAATTTTGATACATTTTTTTTTTTATAAATTTAATATTTCTAAAACTTTTAACTATTTTATCCCTATGATTGTTCAGTTGTGTGCCAACGGGTTTTGAAACCATATAAATTTACACAGAATGTATTCAACTTTATTTTTCTATTAACTTTAGACCACACTTTTTATTCATATCCAAAGTATACGGCATAAAAACTTTGTAGTCTTTCGACTTCTTAACTTTTACGTTTTCAAAAAAAAGCAAATAAAGACGAAAATAATTGAGAGTCCTAAAAGTGTTCTATAATGTCTTGTGAATTTAAAATTTTGCACGTAAGCTTGACCGACTGTCTTATTAGAATCTCTAACAAGTTTTATTTCAAACACTTTTTCAAATGCTTACTAAAGTTAAAAAGTTGTTTATAGGTTGAACTTACCTTTAATTTTATTAACACCGAATTTTCCCTGAATGTGATTTTGTACTGAGAGCACTTCCATCTTCATAGAATGGCCGTTAAAACTGCTATTTTGTGTGTTTTCAGCCAAGTGGGTTTTTCAAATTAAAGCCTTGTTGTCAAATATATAGATTTCGATTCCAATACCGATCTCGACCGACTTTCGTTGCGTATTATTATATTGCGTGAGTGTGGATAGTTGTATTTAACGTACGTATAGAAATGCACTTTAATCACAAGAATTTGATTTTATTTCGCGTGTGTGTTGTGTGTTGTGTGGGTGGAGAGTTCGATTTTCCAGTGACAGCGTTTAACAAACAATTGGAAAAGTATCAACAACTAAATTTGTTATTCTAGTTAAACATTTCAATTCAATACATGCTAAAAAATCAACGCAAATCGCCGCCCCGTCCAGCTCTCTCTCTCTTGCTTTTTCTTTCGCTCTTTTCTTGGGCCTCCTTTTTCTTTCTCGCTCTGTCTGGTTTTTTGTTAATAAATTTAAGCACAGCACATGGTTTTGATTTAATTTTGTTGTTGGTTGGACAGATATTTCGATTTGCTACATATGGCGGAGTTTCAAGTGCTGATGGCTGCGTTTTGTAGAAGTGTTCTTTTTTCCGGTTTTCTGGCTATACTTCTGCTCATTTGGTCCGGTGTGCGAAACTATATAGACTTCATTTGCTCTGCTCGCATTGGTATATATATTCGTGCTCGTCAAAGCGATTGAGTGGGTTTTGCTTTGCTCTGTAAGTTAACATGAGCAGAACGAATATGCGCAAGAACGGAGCGTAGCTTTAAGTTTACAGAGAGGTTCTCTCTCCACTTCTTCCCTCTCCTCGACGCTCGCTCAGCTGTGGCTCCTGCGTTTGTGTGGGTGTGCGAGAGCAGCGCGGCGAGAGAGCTTGGAACTAGATGAACAACTGGGCCTCGATAACGGGACACTGGAGAGCTGAGCTGAGCGGAGCGGAGCAGTTTTCCAAACAGTTTTCCAAAAAGCTACTATCCGGCCGGCACCGCGTGCAGCTGCTTTTATACCGATTTTCCGAACCGGCACCGGCAGCGCTGCCGGCGTCGCTGCTTTCGCATTTCCTTGGCCGTGAACCCTCTCTTGAGCGTCGTTCTTTCTCTCTCTTGATCAGCTGTTGTTGCGAGTGACTCAAGAGCGTTTGAGTGTCTCGCTCTCTTGAGCAAAGCTAAGAAGCTCTTTAGTCAAGGGAATATTTTTGGGAAATACTCTTCGCCAATTAAACTCTCTGAAAAAACTAACTCAATTGATATTTCATCTGCTTTTTAATTTTACAAAGTAGTGAAATTCAACGTTGCAAAACACATATATTTATGAATTTAATTTTTTAATAATAATTTATTTTATTCTATAAATAATCAGACTTTTAAAAAGTCTAATTTTGATTCCTTAGTTATGAATTACCATGAATACCACAACAAACTACCTTTCGAGGTGAAACAAGCAATTTTATTTTCTAGATTATTTAAGTGATATTCTGATATAATGAGATTAGTTTGTCATTAGAAATTCATTGCAAAATATTGGAATAACAAATTACTTATTTATTTATTTGTATTATCCTGGCCTTCTTTTACATAATAATCAATTCACAATAGATTCAAAATTAATTAAATAATACATAGATTTAAAATTGTAATTTAAAGGAAAAGTAGTTATTATTATATTAAACATTTCTAATAATAAACGCGTTAATAAAATTATAAAAAAAAGTTATAATAATATCAACAATTCAGTCTATGATTCCGTCTTAAAATCATAAATATGTAGCTAATAGCGTGCACATTACGAAAAATGCGAAAAGTAAAAAGCTAAATCGGTTTCTTTAGTTTTCTATAATTTGGAATTTTAGTTTGGCCCTTTTTTATTAGAATTTCGCAAGACGATTTATGGTGTTTTGGGGAATATGTCTCCTGCACACTCTAGTGCATATATGCACATACATATGTACATACATATGTACATATGTTGATGTTCGTATATCTGGCCTTTACCGGATGACAAGACCCATTGTAACGCCTACCGTTCTGGTGGGAAAATGGAAAGGAAAAGCAAGAAAACGGATGAAAATGCTTTGCCGACACAGGGCCTGTCACTGTTTTAACAATTCATCTTAATAGAAATAAAAAATGGCGCCGCTGGCGTTGGACAGTCCGGCTAACACCCCGCCCCCCGTTTCCCCTCCCCCTTTGGCTGCCCTATCCCCCTTCCACTCCCCCCTTTCCTATTTGTCACTGGCTCGTTGTGGGTGCTCCGCTCTCCATTTCTCCATTGGATCGGCTTTGGAGAAAGCATCCGCATTTCCCTCGTCTAGCTGCCTTTTTTCTGTGTGGCGTTGGGGGGATTTACACATGTCAGTTAATGCTGAAAAAATGTTTACACAACACAATTGCCTGGCGGAGGGCGAGGGGGCGGGGCAAAATGCCCACCGAGGTACAGAGAAAAAAAAAATAAAAATAAGAATGGGAGCCGCCTGTGTGTGTTTTACCCGATGCTCACTTTAGTGCTACAGACTATTATCCAAAATATGATTGAAAAAAATATTTACTGTGAAAATATTCTACAAATTTGGGAATCCTCTTCCTATTTCTATTTAAATATTAATATAAACTTATTAAAACTTTAATTTTCATCTTAATGTGCATCTATGAATTAAGAAACTAATTAAGTGGTTTCTGCACTCATTGTTGGGTAATAAATAATTTCATAATTAGTATTATTTTATATTTGCTTAATTTACAATTTCAGCTAGATTTTTTCTTAGTGTATGCCAAAAGTTTTAAAGGCCAGCTCAGCTCTCCCTCATCTTTTGAATTTTTTGTAGCCTCGCTGCAGCAGTGTCGAACAGGATAAAAGTCAGTAGCATACAATTAATCAAATGCATGATTTATGTGAGTGAGTTCCACACGAGTTTAACCTAAATACGTCCCGTCGGGACTCAAGCCAAATGAGATGTTCAGGGCGGCTTACAAGTCCCCTTGCCAAAATCAACCCAGAGCGGCTTAATAGACCCAGGCCACATTGTAAAGACGTTTACTTTGGGGAGCACTGCCATTGTTTACTCTCAAACGCTATCTTACCTGCAAATTTTCCAGCTGAAAACTTACTACAGTCATGTTTGGTTAATGAATATCTTCATAATTATGGTTGAACGTTGGCATCAAGATTTTGACCATATTTTTATCACTTAACTTTCTACTATTTATTTTTCTTAGAGTTTTTTAGTTTTAGTTTTACTACAATCATATTTGGTTAATATATTTTTTATGTACAATGTATGTATTACAAAATTATGGTTAAATGTTGGTTTAAAGCTTTTGACCATACTTTCTACTACTTATTATTAATCATTTATTTTTTATTATTTACATTTAATTATATTTCCACATAATACATTTCGTAAGTTAATGTTATAAAGTTATAAACAGGTTATCTAATACCTCTAAAATAGCATCAAAAAGACTAAAAGCTGTGGTAAGTTTAAAATATATATCAATTCAATTTAATTTATATGTTTTTAAATATAATAGGTCTTGTGGCACCAAAGAAATAACTGTCGAACCGTGTTATTATTATTATTATTATTTTCAGCCAAATAAAAAAGGATCACTAACTTTTCAAGCAACAATAACTGTTATGAAATCCATATAGCATATCCACTTAGTTTCGATGTATTTTTTTTTCGTGATTTGAAACTTTTCCACAGGTGGAAATCCGACACTAGAAAAGCCTTCACGTTCGCAGACACACAACACACAAATGCACTTCGTTGGGCAAATGTGATGCGGAATGGAAGCCCGGGAGCCGTAAGAAAACGTTGCTAAAAGCCTCAACCAAAGCCCGGCTGCTGGGCACTTAGGCTGGCAATCCTTTCTTCACAGGATCAAAATTCCCAATTCCGAATTCCGAACGGAACCATAGATGCCTCGCTGGGATTCCAAATGGGATACAAATGAACGCCTTTTCGAGCCAACCAACGCCATCGTCGAATGGACCACTTAGTGAGCCTTTGTGGCGCAGGAGGAGAATGTGTGGAGCTGCCCCTTTTAATGCGTTGCACGTTTTCCCAATAAAATAGCTACAACAGCACGGCCAACAATCCTTTAAGTTCTTCGATACATCGCCAGGGAGCAGGAAACTGGAGCTGGCGAAGAGTGGCTTTTTAGTTCTCGCGCCCATCGCTATCGCTCTACAGTCAAAAAAAAAAAAAAAACACAAGTCCATTAATTAGCAGGGTCAATTTTGCAATATTTATTTTCATTTCTGAAAACATTGGAACATATTGAAAGTATAACCGAACGGTAAGATTTTGGGCTTCAGCCCTTTTACTGGATGAATTTGATTAATTTATATGTAAAAAAAAAATAAAATTAAGTTTTTTATAGGTAGCACAAATAATAAATATTTTTCTACAAATTTATTTATTTTGCAGTCAGTTTAAAATATTTAAAATATTGACAGAAAAATGTGTTTTTTGACTGAGGTTATATTTTTAAAAACAATTTGAAATTGATCGATTGGTTGTGATTCCTTTCACAAATTATTTACTGGGTAAATAATAAAAAAATCTTAGGCTATTGCATATATAAGAAATTCATATTCTGGTATTTTGTTTATTACTAAACTGACTTATGTCGAATTCAACTTTATTTTCTTTAGAGTGTGGTCTTTGTTGCAAACTTGGAGGAGCGGTAACTGCCATGAACATCGATTTTCATGTGATTTGTGTAGACGTGTTTGGGTTTTATTGATTTTCACTTGATTCCCTCCATATGCTTGAATATACTTAAGTCGGGTACGTGCACATCTCCAGCTCCCAGCGCCCAGCGCCCAGCTCCACGCTCCAAGCTCCAGCTTCATCCGCATTGGCATTCGCATTCGCATCCCAGGCCATTTCATCCAGTCCTTTCTTTCCCTTCATTTCCCGCTCCCAATTTATCCCAGGTCGCTCGTTGTCGACAGCAGCCGAGCACCCGAGCAGCTCTAATGTCAGGATCATGCGAGGTTATCAACATAATTTCGAAAACCACCCATCCGCACCAGCCTTCTCCACTCCACTCCACTCTGCTCCACTCCACTCCACCCACATCTTTCTAGTTTATGATGTAGTAGATTTCTGTTTCTTTTCCTGCCGCATCATGAAGATGAAGATGATGATGACGGTGGTAGTGGTAGTGGTAGTCGCAGTGGTAGTGGTAGTGGCATTGGTAGTGGTCGTGATGAGCAAGATGGGCGCGTGTGCGGTTTGATAAGACGCCAGCGATTCGGCTCCTTTTCGTTTGACTTTCATCTGCCATCCCCGCTTGCAGGCCATATTAAAGGAAATCAGTCCTGCTTTTAAAGGGGAATAAGTTATCCCTTTTTTAGCCATGCCGGTTATGTAGCTTTTCCGTAGTTACTTATCGAATTATTTATTTTAAAAACATTCAGCTAAGAACTTTTGCCATATATATCACCTTATTAATTGAATTATATTTTTGTTTTTGTCATTTACAAATTTAAAGCATGCATGATATTTTCGATACTCATTAATTATAACAAATACTTGAACGCGAATTCTTCAGCACATCAAAGTATGCTACAATTTTTCAGTATTAGGCAGTCTGGTTTCTTTAACTTAGTTATGTAATTAATTTGATAATTTTAAAGTTAAATTGTTTCAGCAGAGGGAAAACTCCATCCTAGTAAAAAGCGCTGCAGTAAGATGTCTAGCCGGAAACTGGGAACCCACCAAACGATTGTTACGCCACAAAGAAATTGAAGTATTCCAGGACAACAAGGCAAGCAATTGCCATCAAGTGATGGTCCCCATTTATATTTATTCGAGGCTGCTTCGCTGAGGCAATCAAAGGGCCTTCTGGCATTTCTGGATTCCTGGACTCGCTTGCCTGCCTCGTTACTCATTTCGTTACATTTCGTTTCGTTTCGTTTCGGCTGACATCTGACATGATTATGTACATTTGTCCCCTGGTGG